CCCTGGGGCCCCTGGGGCCCCCTGGGGGCCCTTGCGCGCAGCTAATTCAGCTAGCGCAGCTAGCGCAGCTGGCGCAGCTAGCTGGGAGGGAGTCGGGGAGGCCCCCGAGGCTGCAGCAGCGGGAGCGGCGTTTGTCGGACGCTGAAGGCAGCGAAGGCAGCGGGCTGGGCCAGGGGGCCCCGGGGCCCCCCGGGGGGCCTCCAGGGGGGCCCCCCGGAAGGGGGGCCCCCCGGGGGTCCCCCCTGCGGTGCGCGGAGGGTTATTTTTACGCGGCGAGACACAACTGAGGCCCCAACGGGGGGCCCCCTAGCGAGCTCAAGGCTGCTGAGGGCAGCAGCAGGCCTGCAGCCAAAGACAAGACGAAGGCCAAAGGGCGGGGCCCCCGGGGGGCCCTAGTCTGTGTTTGCTGCAGCAGAGCTGCGCTGGTTTTATTGCTAGCGGATGTGTTGTGTAGAGCGAAAAGTGCCTTTTAAATCCCGTTTTTAAAGTTGGCTTTTTCTTTATTATTTTCTTTGTTTCCGTTTTGGACTCCGACTGTCTGCGTCTTGCGCGGAAAGAATACAGTAGAAGCTTCACCGACTCCGCACTTCGTCATTTGGCGCTTTCTCCACTTTTGCTGCTCCTAGGGGCATATTTGGCTTGCAAATGCGAACCTTTGAACTTCTTCTTGAGTTTTTGAAGTGCTTTCCGACTTCTTTTCGAATTTTTGAAGTGCTTCCCGACTTCTTTTCAAATTTTTGAAGTGCTTTCCGAGCGCTAGCGGCGCGGGGGCGGGGAGGCCGGGAGCCACTGGTCAGGCCGTCAGGAATTCAAGAAACAGGAACTAGAACTTCGCAGCCCCTTCAAACCCGAAATGTAGCTTTTTTTGCGCATTTCAGGTCTTTAATTCATTTATTTAGAGAGTTTAGAGGTCTGGGCGAGACGTTTTCTCTAGAAGACGGGGCGCTGCAAGTCCTTCGCAAGTTGAATCTCGGTGACTGCGGCGCGGCGGCCGCAGGAGGCAGCAGCTGCGCCAGCCAGCAGCTATTAAATTAATTGAATTTAAAGACTTAGTGGAATTTCAGGTTTAGCGGCTTTTCAGGCTTAGTGGCTTTTTGTTTGCACTTTCATCTGCGCAGTCTGGCTGCCTCTTGGTGCAGTTTCCGCAGGCGGTTTCTGAGGCGGCTGAGCTCGTGCAGAAACCTGTCTTGTTTCTCCTCCGACTTCGTGTAATCCACCAAATCCTGAAAACGAACAAGAGGCGCCATCAAGTCCATTTGATCTTCTTCTTTGGCTTTGTTCTGCAGCCCCAGAGCCGCCGCCGCCTGCGCTCTAACGCGCCGCAGCAGCCCCTCCACCTCTGTCTGCAGGCTGGCGCAACTCAAGGAGTAAAGAAGCAGCAGCAGCAGCGCGAAAAGGATTATTATTTACCTATTTAGCTGCTGCTGGATGCTGCTGTTGACCTCCGCTGCTGCTGCAGCCGCCTGGGCCGCCTGCTGAAACCGCTGGCCGTGGAACCTGAAACTGAATTTGCAAAAAGCTGCACAAGCCCGCAGCGCTGCTGCAGCTGCTACCTCAGCTTATTTTTCGCGCTTTCCAAGTCGGAGTGGAGGTACTGGAGGTGAGGAAGAACTGTTTCCACTTCGAAAGCGAGTTGCATCGCCTGAAGTTGCAAACCGTGCAAGTCCGGGGAGAAGCACCCAGCACCAAGAACTCTACCTCAGCAAGCGGCGTGGCCTGAGGAGCAGCAGACTGTCTTTGCAGCTTTTTTGGAAGTTTTTTGCTGCTGTATTTCTCAAGAGAAGCTTCGAGGCTGCTGAGGCGGCTCTCCAAGTGCGCGGGGTTGACTTTCTGCAGCAGTTTGCACGGGCGCTCTCGACGCAGGCGAAGCAGCAGCAGCAGCAGCAGCTTACCTTGAGTTTCTTGGCCAGGTCCTGCAGATTAAATTGAATTAAATCAATTGAAAGAATAATTCTTTGCTGCTTTCGCTTTCGTAGGTCGCTCACCTTTTCTGCGTACTTCGCCAGCGCCGCCAGCCGCTGCGCCTCGCCGCTGCTGCTCTGCTGCTGCACAGCCTGCCGCGCCCGCCTCACCTGCTGCAGCAGCCTGCTGCCAGCAGCAGCAACTTTGTCTTTGACACTTTTCCAGCTTTCCGAGAGAAACTCCAGCGCAGCAGCTCCTCCATGGGGGTGCCCGCGGGCCCCGAGGTCTTTGAGTCCTTCAGAAATGCTGAAGAGGGCCTCGGAGTGCGGAATGAACTCTTGAATAACGAAGCGCTCTGCGAGCCTGTGGCTGCTGCCGGCGCTGCTGCTGCAGCTGCTGCCGCTGCTGCTGCTGCTGCTGCAGCCGGGCGGCGTTTGCCGCAGAGCTGGTGAGTCTGAGGAATAGTTGAACTTCTCTTTCCATTATTTGTCATATGTACCTTTTGCTTCGAGCTGCGCAGCCTCTAGGGCCTCCTCGACGTCCACGCCTGGCAGCTCGGCGCAGCCGCCAGACTGCAGCAGCAGCAGTTGCCCCATTTGCGCACTTAGCTGCGGCCCTTGAGTCTCTGGTGCTGCGGGGCTTTTGCTGCTGCTGCTGCACTTACCTGGGCCACGGCCTCGTGCACCTCTCGCGCGCTTTCCGCCAGCAGCAGGGCCTGTTCATCTTCAGCTTCCCCGCGGGCCGCTGGCTTTGCAATAACGAGCACAACCTGGCGTTTTGGAGTTTAATTTTTGAAAATAAAAAGCAAAAGGGAAAAGAAAAAACCCACATCTTTCAAGATCGGCCGGAGCTGGCGAGATCGCAGGCGCAGCGCCTGCGCACACTCAGCTGCCTCGGGGTCCTCTGCTGCAGCGCGCAGCAGGCAAGGAGTCGCCGCCTCCAGCAGCTGCAGCTGCGCGGCCAAATTGCTGAGGGGCCCCAGAGCGGGGTGGCCAAGAAGGCGGTAGATGGCGGCTTCGTCCGCCGTGTGGATGCGGTATGCTGCACTGGTGCCGCATTGCTGCAGCACGACTGATGCGACCAGCAGCGGCGCTCTCATCCTAAGCTCTTGTTGCGAATCAGTTGCATCACATTGTCTCACTTCAAGCTGCTCGAAACCGAAGAAAGTTCGCGCTGCTTACCACAGCTTTCTCCGCCGCCACGCTGCGTGCGTACACCGCGTGGCGGCAGGGAAGACATCCCAGATCTGTTCATGTAAATGAAGCCCGACGGGCAGACTGAGGGGTAAATTAAAGGAGTTAAACTCATTTACATTAAAAGCAGGAATTGACCGGCATATCTTTGCAACAAACTCAAGCTCGCGGCTCGAGCAGTTCGCGAGGTTTTTCGCTACGCGGGTGCAGCACCTGCACCAGTGCTGCCTGGCGCTGCGCCTTCTCTTTCGCTTTCCTCGCTCATTTGGCAGTTTTCAGAAGACGAAAAAGGATAAATAAATGATGCAGGCCTCTGGGAGGAAGCAGCTTCAGCGGGCTGGCTGGGAAGAGCCGCAGCAGTGTCTGCGCAGCTTGCACTTGCTGCCGGTGCTGCTGCTGCTGCAGCCCCGTTTCTTGCTTCCTGCTGCTCTGAGGATTCCGGCGACGGCGCAGCAGCATCTGGCTGCTGCTGCTGCGCAGTTTGCTGCTGCTGGCTTGAGCTGCTGCAGGTTTGCTGCAGCGCGCCGTCGCCCTCCGCCTCTGCGTAGTGCTGCGGTGTCAGTGGAGTGAAGTGGTACCAGTCGTACGCAGCAGCTGCAGCAAGAGTTGCTGGGGCCTCTTGGTAGCTGCTGGCCCCAGCAGCAGCAGCAGCAGCAGCAGCGCAGTAGGCGTAGTAGCCCTGCCAACTCGCCCAGTCCGCGCAGGGGGCCCCGTAGGCGTACAGCTGCGCGTTTTGCGCTGCTGCGAGGAGCCACTGCTGCTGCTGCTGTCCGTAGGGGTAAAAGTCGCAGGGGGCGGGCACGCTGCCGCGTCTGCTGCACACAAAAGCCACATAGCCTCTACTGACCTCACGCCTCCAGCTGCAGCAGCAGCAGCAGCAGTCAGCTGCTGCTCAGCAGCATCAGCAGCAGCCAGGTGCTGCTGAGCAGCAGCAGTCAGGTGCTGCTCAGCAGCAGCAACTGGCTGCTGCCGCGTAGCAGCAGCAGCAGCTGGCTGCTGCTGACTAGCAGCAGCAGCACCACGCTGCTTCTGTGCAGCAGCAGCAGCAGCAGCAGCAGCAGCAGCAGGTTGCTGCTGCAGCATATATAGCCACCTGTCGAGTCTTGGCCTTGAGCGCTTCGGCTCTGGCCTTCTTATCTCCACCAGCCGGTCCTGCGGCGCAGCAGCAAAGTTTGCTGCATGTCTTTAATTCAATAATTTAATTCGTTTTAATTTAATTCGTTCAATTCAAGTTGTTTTAATTTGTTTTAATTTAATTTGTTTTAATTCAAATTGTTCTGGTTCAAGCTCTTTTAATTCAAGTTTTTTTAGTTCATAGTCCTTTTAATTCAAGCTCTTTGAACTCAATTTCTCTGAATTCGAGTTCTTTGAATTCAACTTCTTTGATTCAGCTTCTTATATTTTAATTAAAACAAATTAAATTAAAACAAATTAAATTAAAACAAATTAAGATAAATTTAGCTTCCTTAAATTCAATCGGTTTTAATTAAACTTGTTAATTGAAATTCCTTTTATTCAACTTCTTTTGATTCAAGTTCTTTTAATTCGAGTTCCTTTTTAGTTCAGCCTTTTCAGATTCAACGTTTTCATTCAACTTGAACTATTTTTTAATTAAAATTCCTTTAATTAAACTTCCTTTAATTATTCAGCTTCTTTAATTCAACTTCTTTTAATTCGACTGCTCTGGTCCAACTTCTTTTAGTTGAACTTCTTTAATTCAACTTCTTTTTAATTCAGCTTCTTTGAATTCAAGCTCTTCTTAATTCAACTTCTTTCAACTCAAGTTGAATTATGGAAAAGTTGAGTTAAGAAGAAGTTGAATTAAGGAGAAGTTGAATTAAGAAGAAGTTGAATTGAATTCAACTTCTTCTCCCAACTCCTGTCAATTCAACTTCTTCAAATTCAATTTTTAAAATTCAACATCCAAATTCAATGTGTAAAATTCAACTTTTGTTGATTCAATGTTTAAAATCAACTTTTTTTAATTTAATATTTAAATTCATCTTCTTGTAATTCAATTTTTAAAATTCTACTTCTGTTTACTCCAGTTCTTCTCTTGTCCTTCAACCCTCAAGAGCTTCAGATTAAAACGCATCTGCATTTTCGTGTGTTCGTTATGGCTATATACATGTATATTGATATAAATAAGTACATATATATGTATCGATATAACATATATATTATATACATATTGTAATATATATATATGATATATTTTACACGGAAAAGTATGAAGGCGAATATATGCATTTGTACAGACATGCGTGCTTGTGAGTTCTTATGCAAATGCTTAAAAGCAGCAGCAGCAGCAGCAGCAGCAGCAGCAGCAGCAGCTCACCCCAATGCGGCAAGAGCCCTGGCCTATGAGGGACTCTGCCACTTTTTCTTGCTTAAAAGTGGCAAAGCCGAAGCAGCGCGAGCGGCCCATCATATCTGTTGCGATTTGCACTGTCTCCACTTCCCCGAAACGAGCCAGCTCCCTGTGCAGCAGCAGCAGCAGCAGCAGCAGCGGCAGCACTGCAGCAGCGGCGCAGCAGCAGACGCGCGTGCACTTTGAGCGTTCGCATTGCTGCCGCTTCTGCGGCTGGTGGCTGCCCATAGGTTCGTGGCGCTGCTGCTGCTGCTGCTGCTGCTGCTCCTAAAACAACTGAAAAGCAGCAGCAACGCGTGCTGCTGCCGCTGCTGCTGCTGCTGCTGCGGGCCTCACAGAGCCAGCTGGTCGCTGCCCAGCGCGGGGGGCAGCCCCCCAAGAAAGACTTTTCTGGGGAAGTCGCTGGGGGTGTTTTCGTTTTCTCTGCGGACTTCAATTTTTTTGTCCCGCAGGAAATGGGGGGCCCCCAAGATGGCCGCCAGGGGCCCCTCTTCCTCCATGGTGACGAACCCGAAGCCCCGCTTGCGCCCCGTCAGGTAGTCTTTCGCCAAACGCACTCCCGACACCCGCCCGAACTTCGAAAACAACTCCCAAACTTCCTGCAGCAGCAGCAGCAGCACAGCAGCAGCAGCAGCCGGCGCCCCCACTCCCGAGTCAGACGCACGCCGCGAATCACGGGGCCCCAGGGGGCCCTCAGGGGGCCCCA